CCGGCCCTTAATCTGCTCGTTTATAATATTACCGGCCCTTAATCTGCTCGTTTATAATATTACCGGCCCTTAATCTGCACGTTTATAATGTTACCGGCCCTTAATCTGCTCGTTTATAATATTACCGGCCCTTAATCTGCTCGTTTATAATATTACCGGCCCTTAATCTGCACGTTTATAATGTTACCGGCCCTTAATCTGCACGTTTATAATGTTACCGGCCCTTAATCTGCACGTTTATAATGTTACCGGCCCTTAATCTGCACGTTTATAATATTACCGGCTCTTAATGTTATAATGTTACCGGCCCTTAATCTGCACGTTTATAATGTTACCGGCCCTTAATCTGCACGTTTATAATGTTACCGGCCCTTAATCTGCACGTTTATAATATTACCGGCCCTTAATCTGCACGTTTATAATGTTACCGGCCCTTAATCTGCACGTTTATAATATTACCGGCTCTTAATCTGCTCGTTTATAATATTAACGGCTCTTAATCTGCACGTTTACACCCACGGAGACGCCATATGGTTCAGTGTAACTGCACAACAACTACAGAAATGTCTCCGCTAACATTCAGAAACGTGTAAAAGTGAAGCTCTCCCTGAGTCTCTCCGTAAGGCTGCACTCGCTGCTGTTACTTCTGATTCTGGATCAGTGAGATTGGCCTGTGTTGTTAGAAGCTCTGAGTCTCTGAAGCTCGTGTGAAGGCTCCGCCCTCTTCTGAACGGAGGCGGAGCTAAAGCTCATTTGCGTTTAAAGGGACACACACACAAAAACGTCACACTCACACCCAAAAAGGGGCAAATTTGACAAGCTATAATAAATGATCTGGTATTTTGAGCTGAAATTTCACAGACACATTCTGGGGACACCGTAATTTTTTATATTAAATCTTCTGAAGAGGGGCGTAATATGTCTTTAAGGATAATCACAGTAAAACTGAGTTGTCTGTATGAGTGTGGTTTGATAGCAGTGTTATCGCTGCGTGTCTCAGTGTGTGACTGTGTTCATGAGCACGAGAGCAGCTCGGGATCACTCCGGTCACTCTCTGCATCTGCTCTGAGCGCGGGACACTAATAACATAACAATAACATAACAAATCATCTTATAATGAGACATGCTTATAATCCGGCTGTGCTCAACAGAAGAGAAGCTTTTTCTGCCCCAGTAAAAGCATTATGGTTCAAAACATCTGAGAATGAAGGAATTAAGAGAGCCATAAATATTAGTTTAGTAATTTTACAATTGTACTGTAAAATAAATTATTATTATTATATTTTTTCTTAAATAGTATTTTTTATTTTACATTGAAATATTACAATAGTTATATTTTTATTTTGTTTTTACTTAATTTTTTTTGTATTTTAGAATAATTTAGTATAATGTATTATCAAAATTATTATTTTATAGTATTGAAATATAATCATAAAATCTTGCCAAATTGTGCAAAACAAGTACATCATACCTGGAGATTTTTGCAATCAGATTTCTTAAAATCCATTTGAGACTGTGCATTATTATTATTATATTTCTTAAATACGTTTTTTAGTTTACATAAAAATATTCCAATATTTATTTTGTATATATATATATATATATATATATTAATTATAATAAATATATATATTTATATATTTTTAGTATTTTATAGTACTGTACCCGGAGCTTTAAAAAAAATTTGCGATCATAATTTCCCCCCAACAGGCAGTGGTGTGTGTGTTTGATGTGTGTGTTTGTTTTTGTGTGTTTGATGATGTGTTTGTTTGCTTTGTGTGTTTGATGTGTGTGTTTGATGATGTGTGTTTGCTGTTGTGTGTTTGATATGTGTGTTTGCTCTGTTGTGTGTTTGATGTGTGTTTGATGATGTGTGTGTTTGCTGTTGTGTGTTTGCTGTTGTGTGTTTGCTGTGTGTGTTTGACGTGTGTGTTTGCTGTTGTGTGTTTGCTGTGTGTGTTTGCTGTGTGTGTTTGCTGTGTGTTTGCTGTTGTGTGTTTGATGTTGTGTGTTTGATGTGTGTGTTTGACGTGTGTGTTTGCTGTTGCGTGTTTGCTGTGTGTGTTTGCTGTTGTGTGTTTGCTGTTGTGTGTTTGCTGTTGTGTGTTTGCTGTGTGTGTTTGCTGTGTGTGTTTGCTGTTGTGTGTTTGCTGTTGTGTGTTTGATGTTGTGTGTTTGATGTTGTGTGTTTGATGTTGTGTGTTTGATGTGTGTGTTTGACGTGTGTGTTTGACGTGTGTGTTTGACGTGTGTGTTTGCTGTTGTGTGTTTGCTGTGTGTGTTTGCTGTTGTGTGTTTGCTGTTGTGTGTTTGCTGTGTGTGTTTGCTGTTGTGTGTTTGCTGTTGTGTGTTTGCTGTTGTGTGTTTGCTGTGTGTGTTTGCTGTTGTGTGTTTGCTGTTGTGTGTTTGCTGTGTGTGTTTGATGTTGTGTGTTTGATGTTGTGTGTTTGATGTTGTGTGTTTGATGTGTGTGTTTGACGTGTGTGTTTGCTGTTGTGTG